AGAGTCTTTATGTCACGGTGATACTTTTATTTTTTAGTTTTTGGTGTGTTTTTTTAATATATTTTTATTGATTTCAGAGAGAAAAAAAAGAGAGGAAGAGAGATACCCTGTTTCCCCAAAAATAAAACAGTGTCTTATATTAATTTTTTCTCCCAAAGTTGCACTAAGTCTTATTTTCAGGGAATGTCTTATCTTTCCATGCGCTAGATCTTCTATTTTCGGAGGATGTCTTATTTTCGGGGAAACGCAGTAGAAACATCAGTAATGAGACTAAATCACTGATTTGCTGCCTCCTACATGCTCCCCCCCTGCCCCCCCCCCCCGGGGATCAAGTTTGCAACCCAGTCAGGTACCCTTGACTGTAATCAAACCTGGGACCCTTCAGTCCGAGGGCCAATGCTTTATCTACTGAGCCAACCCGGCCAGGGCTTCACAGTGATATTTTTAATAGAAATAAACCAATCCATAAGAAAAGGCTATGTAAATGTGATGGCAATTAATACTTTAGTACGATTATGTTTTCTTCCTCACAAGAGTAGTTTGTAAGACTACAAATGAAGGATGTGTTCATCTTTTAGTCCAGGAATATATGAGGAGAGGAGTGTGGATCTGAGCCATGGCCACCAACTCTGAGCTTCCAGCTTGCAGTGTGCTGCACTGTTTAAATAGACATGTCTAAACCCAGACAAAAGAGCAGCCAAGATCTCACCACTGCTTGATCTGTATGCCTCACTTTAAAAGAGCTAGATGTTTTGTATGTGGCCTTTCTTTGATAATTGGTTTACATTTTGAAAAACCTTGTTTGCAACAAAATGTCTATGGCTATGAGGATAGATCCAAGTGGTAATTACAAGTTTAATTTTATTGAATTATAGGTTAAAGATCTTAAATGTATTTAAGCACCAAAAAGGAATCCTGGACAGAAATGCTCCTGAATTTTTCCCATAGGGCCTAAGGGGAGCATCCACTACAGGATGCTTATGTCTTGCTTTATGTTATTTTATTAGTTATGTTTTTCTTTTTACAACACTATTATTTTTTTTAAATCCCTGTAGAACTTTACCAAAAATCTGTAGTTATATAAAACTAAAGGCCTGGTGCACAAAATTCGTGCAGGGGTTAGTGTCCCTCAGCCCAGCGTGCACCCTCTCCAATCTAGGACTCCTTGAGGGATGTCCAACTGCTCATCAGGATTGGGCTAAACAGACAGTCAGACATCCTTCTCACAATCTAGTACTGCTGGCTCCCAACTGTTTGCCGGCCTGCCTTCCTAATAGCCCCTAACCGCTTTTGCCTGCCAGCCTGATCACCCCTAACTACTCCGCTGCCAGCCTAATTTATGCCTAGCTGCTCCCCTGCCAGCCTGATTGCTCCTAACTACCCTTCCCTGCAGGCCTGATAACCCCCAACTGCTCTCCCCTGCAGGTCTGAGTCCCCCTCAACTGTCCTTCCCTGCAGGCCAGTCATCCCCAACTTCCCTCCTCGCCAGCCTGGCCACCCCTAACTGCTATCCCCTGCAGGTTTGATCACCCTTAACTGCCCTCCCTTGCAGGTCTGTTCCCTTCCAACTGCCCTCACCTGCTGGCCATCTTGTGGCAGCCATCTTGTGTCCACATGGAGGCAGGATCTTTGACCACCTGGGTCAACCATCTTATGTGTTAGAGTGATGGTCAATCTGCATATTACTCTTATTGGATAGGTTAGAGGCCTGGTGCATGGGTAGGAGCCAGCTGGTTTTCCCTGAAGAGTGTCCCGGATCAGGGTAAGAGTTTCCTTGGGGCGTGGGACAGCCTAGGCGAGGGGCCCAGACGGCCCCACGCCTTCTGGCAACCCAAGCAGAGGACCTGGTATCTGGGATTTATTTATCTTCTGTAATTGAAACTTTGTAACCTTGAGTGGAGCCAAACCTCCTGCTTGCTCTGTGGCTATAGCCATTTTTGTTGGGATTTATTTATCTTCTATAATTGTAAATTTGTAGCCTTGAGCGGAGACCAAGACAGGCCAGGGCTGCAGAAGCTTAGCTTCCTCCATCGTTGGGGACAACTCAAGCCTCCTGCTCTCTCCAGCTCCATGGCTGCCACCATTTTTGTTGGGATTTATTTATCTTCTATAATTGAAACTTTGTAGCCTTGAGTGGAGGCCTGGGCCAGCCAGAGTGGGCAGAAAGCTTGGCTTCCTCCATCGCCAGGGAAATCCAAGCCTCCTGCTCACTCTGTGGCCAGCCGCCATCTTAGTTGGGTTAATTTGCATACTCGCTCCTGATTGTCTGGTGCTCATGGATTGTGGGTGTAGCAGAGTGGTGGTTAATTTGCATATTACTCTTTTATTAGATGGATGTCCTTTGTCTCTCACTATAGCCTTCATTTTAAAGTCCATTTTGTCAGATATAAGTATTGCTGTCTCAGCTTTTTGTTTGGTTTCATTTGCATAAAATATTTTCCATCATTTACTTTCAGTCAGTGTGTGTCTTGGCATCTAAAGTGTATCTCTTATAAACAGCATATGAGTCTTGTGTTTTTCTGCATGCAGCCATTCTCTGTCTTCTGATTAGAGCATTTAATCCAATTACATTTAACATAATTGTTGATAGGTATGTAGTTACTGCCATTTTGAAATTCATATTTTTTATCTGTTTTTCTTCTTCTAAAAGATGTCCCTGTAACATTTTTAAGAATATTGGTTTGGTGGTGATAAACTCTATCTTAAGCTATTTTCTAATTTTCTTAAATTTTGGAAGAACTTAGGTCTTTATAGTGTAAGCCATACTGCCTTTTTTTCTGCGGTAGCTATTCTTGGCTAATCACTAGTTTTTAGAAAAAATGAAGTTAGTAATGACCACTATTGTCCATTTTATTTTTCCAAATAGTCCATGCCGCATCCTGAATAAAGAATTGGAACAATAGATTATTCCCTGCAGTTAATCTCAGATATAAACTCAGTCTGCATATTAAACAGAATATTAGGTTTAAATTATTTTGTCCCCTCTCTGCTCCCATCACCTCCAAAAAAGAAATTATTCTGGAAGAGGTGTGTATGGGTGTGAGGAAGAATGATATTGTATCATATAAATAACCATTATGCTGTGTAAGAAAGTACACAAAAATTGATTTTAGCTTACCTACCTACCATCTAAAATCTTATTAGATTAGAAGCTATACATGACAAAAACTTATATGTAATATAAATCTATTAGTAAAGTCCTCCCATATAAGTGAATGTTATAAAGTGTCTGCTAGTACAGGGATCCCATTTCCAGTCATTGTCACTTTCAGAGTGAGAGAAAACAACTCCTCTACAAATTCTCCAGTTTGTTCAGGTAAGATTAAGATGAAAGTCTTTGACAGTGGCTTATATCTTAAAAATGCAAGTTCCTAAACTATCTTCCTTTCTTCTTTATGGTTCTTAATATTGCAAGATTTTAGTTTACTTGCTTTTAAATGCAAATAGACCTGATAAGTGAATTATTAATTAAAAGTTTCTTTTTAATTTAGAAAAGTTTATCTAAAACAAATTAGTCCTCTTTAAAATAAGGTTCCCCAGTAAATTGTATCCATTTCTCAACATCCCAACTCCCAAGGAAATTATATTTTCATTCTCTCGTTTTTTTTTGCCTCTATTTCCATTCTTCTGTGTCTAAATGTTACTAATAGATTCCCATGGATTTCTTTTTTAATATATTTGTATTGATTTCAGAGAGGAAGGGAGAGGGAGATGGAGAGATAAAAAAGACAGCAATGATGAGAGAGAATCATTGTTTGGCTGCCTCCTGCATGCCCACACTGGGGATCGAACCTGCAATCCAGGCATGTGCCCTGAGAGGAAACTCCTGGTTCAGAGGTCAACACTCAACCACTAAGCCATGCCAGCTGGACTTGGCATGGATTTCTTAGTTGGTGTTCAAAGTTAGGAACAATATGAGATGCTACAGAAAATACAGAAAATTGTGTCTGATATGTTTGACATGGGCTGCTTAGCCTTGTCTCTAATCTGGTACCAATGAGTGGGCCCAGGGGTGAAGGCCGTGGCCCTTTGAGAGTGAGAGTATACTAGGTTAAGGACTCTTGACTTAGCAGCAGTGATAATTATCCAGGCCCATCTACCCTCTATCACACACTCTGGTATCACAGTGATGTAAGGGGAGGCAGATACTAATTACAGTAAAGTATACCAAGAAGAAAGAGGAACAGTTTTCATTTATTGAGTCTTTTTCTTGTTCCAGGATCTCTTTCAGATTCAGACACTCATTATAAAGCTTACTCTCTCCTCCCCCAGCACCTCTTTGAGGTAGGCAGGATTGTACCTGTCTGACAGAGAGAAAACATCAGTTATGTTAAGAAGGTTGGCCAGTTTCACACAAGCAGGGAGCTAGAGCAAGAATTTAAACCTAAACCTGTCTGATTTGAAAGCCTTTTTCTTGAACTGCTGTCCTATATTGCATGTAATTTATATAAGGGGAGGAGAGTGGTAGGCGTGTGGATGTATGTGCATATGTGTGCAATCTGCACTCTGGAGTGAGGTAAGATCCTTATGTGGATGTTAAGTCACACAAGAGGAAGAAACAGCCAAAACTTGGGACAATATTGTAGAGCTGCCCTGAATCTGATTTACATCACTGCCTTGGTGCATTCATATGTGGTACATCATTTCCCCCTCGTAGTTTTTGCTTTGTCTCAGTACATTAAAGGTTCAATTCTCCATGTATATGGAGGGTAGCCACATGTGAATAACTCTATAAGGAATCAGCAATCTAAAGAGCATTTCAGTAGCAGTTTGCCATTTATATGTGACTTGTTTGGGGTAGATTTATATCTCTAAATATGTTTTCTTAGTCATCCCAGAATAGTAATGGATGGACCTGTCCCCAGAGCAAACAATGAAGTGAATTATTCATAGAATATCAGACAGTTAATTCCTAAGGAAGAGCTTTTACATTCATTTAAAAGCATAGCTTCAGAGATACTGATACCTTTCTTCCCCTCTCCACCCCCAAATTTATTTAGAACTTATGCTATCAGGAAGATAAGAGATGCCTTCAGAGAAAATAAGAATGTGAAAGATCCTGTAGAAATTCAGACTCTAGTGAATAAAGCCAAGAGAAACCTGGAAATTATTCATCGACAGGTAAGAAAGTTCAATGACGTACTATTTTGCATTAAGAGTTGAAAGCTTTGACACATCCCCTTGAATGCATGCCACTATTTTTGGTGTTTATGATTTATACAGAATCATGAGACTGTTCCTTTTACTCATATAAATATAGAAAGATGATCTATTATATTATTGAATTTAAGGAGAACACAAAGGAAAATATCAACTTTCCAGAATTTCTAGGGAATGCATCCTTTGGGAAGCTGAGTTCTCACATTTAACTAAAGGTTAATGCTTTAAGCATGGGAAACTTCCAAAAAGTAGGGGGTTTTTTGTTTGTTTGTTTGTTTGTTTTTAAAATCAATCTTTATTGTTCATATTATTACAAAGGTTCCTTATTTCTTCGCCCCTCCACCAGGTTCCCACCCAACCCTCTGCCCCCTCCCCACCCCCCACTGTCCTCATCCATGGGTGCACAATTTATGTTCAGTCTCTTCCGCATCCACCACTTCCCTTTTCCCCAAGAATTGTCAGTCCACTCCCCTCCTGTATCTCTGATTCTATTATAATCTACAGTTAATATCGTTCATCAGGTTTTTTAATTTCCTTGGTTTTTTTTAATAAACTTTTATATTTTTAAGAATAAATTTTAAAATCTAATAATTTTAAACCTTGTTTTTTCTGCCCTGGGAACTGAGAAGCAAACTTGTTTACATGTAAACTTGCCCTTAAGCTATCAAAAGGTGTAGCCATTCAAATGTAAATGAACACATTGTTTAAGGATAGCTGCTGGCTGGAATTGGATTACTTGTTCTGGGAGGGAAGAGCTTGTCCTCCCCTTTCTCCATTAAAATTAAGGTGTTAGCTTTAAAACCTCTTTTTGGCAAGGGACCTTAAACTTTCAGAACTTTAAATTTTTCAGGTAGTAAATCAATTACTTAGCATTTTCTCAAATCAATAATACCTCCACATGCCCAAGGATACACTTCACACAAAAGACACTTCCAAATAGATCAACCTCATCCAGACCCCACACAAGGCACCCACAGATCAACATCCTAGTGCTACAACAACTCAACACATCCAGATCTAAGCCTTCATCACTTGATTCAGCAGACCCTCAAGTTCCCCCAAAAGTTTCCCGCCATGTCTGAGAAGCAGCTCTGGGGCATGGGCAGGTGAGGAGCAAGCTTTTCCTGGCCCGGCTGCTCCGGGCCTGGCCGCTCCGGGCCTGGTAACTCCCGGCCTGGCTGCTCCCGGCCTGGCTGCTGCTGCTCCTGGCCTGGCTGCCCCCGACCAGGCTGCTCCGGGTCTGGCTGCTCTGGGCCTGGATGCTTTGGGCTTGGCCACCTCCGCCCCAGGCCTGGCTGCCACTGCCCCAGGCCTGGCTGCTTCGGGCCTGGCCGCTCCGGGCCTGGCTGCTCCTGGCCTGGCTGCTGCTGCTCCGGCCTAGCTGCTCCCGACCCGGTTGCTCTGGGCCCAGCTACTCCGGGCCCAGCCACTCTGGGCCTTGCTGCTCCCAGCCTGGCTGCTGCTGCTGCTCTGGGCCTGGCTTCTCCCAACCCGGTTGCTCTGGGCCCAGCCACGTCAGGCCTGGCCGCTCCCGGCCTGGCTGGTCCCAGCCTGGCTGCTGCTGCTCCTGGCCTGGCTGCCCCCGACCTGGCTGCTCGGGGCCCAGCTGCTCCAGGTCTGGCTGCTCCAGGCCTGGACACCCTGGGCTTGGCCTCTTCCGCCCCAGGCCTGGCTGCCGCTGCTCCAGGTCCGGCTGCTGTTGCTCCGGGGCCTGGCTGCTGCTGCTTCGGTCCCGGCTGCCACTGCCCTGGGCCTGGCCACTCTGGGCCTGGCTGCCGCTGCTCCAACATTCTGTCTTTTTTTTTTTTTTAACGCATTTATGTTGCAATGTTGGCTGCTAAATTGAGTTCTGTCTTAATCTTCGATTTTTCAAGATCTTCTTTGTATTCTTTCTTAAGTAATTTTACTATCTTTTTGCTATAACTTGATTTCTTCACATTGAAAACTTCTTCGGTTTCTTCCTCCTCATCCCGGAAGCTCAGCAGGCTGGCCCACGGGGCCCCTTTGTTCTCCTCGGCCTCCTGCGCGGCTTCAGCCTGTTGTCGCGGTTGGTGCCACCCAGGAAACAGCCCCCGGCCTCGGCTCTGTGGTTGGCGATCAGTAGTCGAGGGCCCACCTGCACCTCCCCCCAGGGGCCCTGTCGCCCAGCGCCTTGCTGGCACCCAGCTTGCTGGCGCCTGGTGGCGGCTCCCACTCCTCATCGTGCGCCCTCCAGCCTGGAGCCTTTGTCTCCTTCCCGCCAGGGCAGTCTAGCATCAGAGTCAACAGACTGTCCTTTGCGCGCAATGTGCCTTTGCCGCTCCCCTGGGATTCCGCCTCACAGCCCAGGCTCCCTCTGTTTGAGCCTGGGTCCCCAGGGTCTGGCCTAGAACCGGGGTTCAGCACTGTCGGTTCTGGGGTCCAGCCCGGTCCGGAGCTTTTATTTCCTTCCCGCTAGGGAACGCCAGCCAGGTATTCAGCCTCCCCCTCCTCCCCGGCTCTGGCCTCTCCGCACGCGCACAGTATGTTTCTGTACTTTAGGCTTTTATAGCTCCTCTGATTTTCCTTCTGGTTTTCTCCTTTCTTCTTGTTGTAGAATTTTCAGTCAGTCGACTTCCTGTAGCTCTGGGCACTATCTATTTTATATTTTAGTTGTATTTTATTGAAATTGTTGTGTGCGGCTGCGGTTAGGTGTTTACCTGTGCACCCATCTTGGATCCCCCCCAAAAAGTATTCTTTTTGTAAGATATATTACACATTTGTACGACAGAACCTAGGGGGGCCTTATTTTCGGGGAGATGCCTTTTATTTCACTCAGAAGGAAACTTGTAAGTAGGTCTTATTTTCGGAGGATGTTTTATTTTTGGGGAAACACGGTAGCAATAGAGTAACTTTACTACATTCAGACAAGCCTAGGAAATTATGGATGGAAAAAAAAAGACTTGTGGTGGTAAATAACTGTTATGCTTAGGATAGTCATACAAAGAAACTGATCTGCACATTTACATATACTTTGAAAATAGCAGATTAATGAGTGGCACTTTCCAGGCTTCAGTGGTTGAAATTTATGGAACCTTTAACATTGGAACTTGTCCTTATTTTGCATAAACTCAGAAAGATTTCATTCTTTGGCACTTTCCCATGTAAAAGTTGGCAAGCATCACCAAAACAGGCTGGTTTCCTCTTCTAGTGTAACTTTGCTCAGAATAGAAAATGCTTAGAAAGGTTACCTGTAAGTAATCTGTTCCATCATTTCAGCTATGCCAGGATTCTTTCCCCCCAGCCTTACAAAGGGTTTATCATTCTGGAGAAAGGGCTGTGCATAGATGATTAAAGAGTTCATGGATGAAAGATATTTTTGAGAGGCATTGGGGGTCAGAGGAGCTTCCAGCTGAAGGAACTAGAAGACTCTCCTCCTTGACCAAGGACTCGTGCTTTTATTAAACATAATTTGTCCCAAGACAAGGTGGAAATATACACTTAAAAGGGTAAAGCATCAAAGGGTTTACAGAGATTGTCAGTTTTGAGAATAGCCTACAGCTGTTCAGGTGTTTGGCCAACAGGAGGCAATAAAATTCCCTGAGCTGTTTGGCAGTTAACAATACCATTCAGGTTTGGGGGAAATGCTTTGTAGCCATTTCCAACAGATAAACTACATATGTAGCTCACCCTTTTTGAGCCCCCCAAGTCCTATCAACCTTTTTTTTTCCCCTCTAGTTTATTTAAATATATTTTATTGATTTTTTACAGAGAGAAAGGGAGAGAGATAGTTAGAAACATCGATGACAGAGAGGTACATTGATCAGCTGCCTCCTGCACACACCCCCACTGGGGATGTGCCCACAACCAAGGTACATGCCCTTGACTGGAATCAAACCCGGGACCTTTCAGTCCCCAGGCCGATACACTATCCACTGAACCAAACCGGTTTCGGCCCTATCAACCTTGGAGGGAACTCTTGTAATTATTACATGCTGGAATTGGTTCTGCTGTCTTCATTTTGAAATGCTAAAACTACCCTCTTAATAAAAAATAAATAAATAAATAAATAAATAAATAAATAAGACTAGATTGGCTGTCATTAGACATTTCCAGTGAATCCACTTAGAGGCCTAGTGCCCAACCCAGGACTGCCAGTGAGAGGGCAGGGCGGGGCGAGGATAAAACTCCTGACTCCACTGTGGGGCAGGGCTGAGTTATCCTCCATTAACTGGACCCTAGCCCAATGAGGGTCAGCCAACGCAGTGACATCACCACCGGAGTAAACCCCAGGCTTGGCGAAATTCGCGCTCTTCCGCCATGCTACCGGCGTGAGTGGGACAGAGCCCATGCTAGCATGGAAGAGGCTCTTTTGTTTATTGCATCGGTCTCGGCTCCCTGGTGGTCCTTGGGTATCACAAAGTCTGGGCGTAATAGTCAGTGCCCAGAGCTGCCATAGTAACTAGTAGATCAGCTAGTAACTAGGTGATTGATCATGTGATCCCTAAAGGCCCTGCTCAAAGAGGCCTTGACAAGTGAAAGCATTCTCATCCTATCAGAGAACTAGTTTGCCAGTTATACATCAACAACTGGGAGGTTTCTGTTCACTTCCCTTTCACATCAAGACTGTTCCTGAGTTCAAGAATAACATTTACCATAGTTGGTTTATGAGCTGTAGTGGACTCCTGGAGCCACTTCACTCTAAGCTGGTAAACTTGACCTTGGTGAAAATGCCTAAAATAAAGTAGCATGTGTATTTCCTTCTCACAGACCACTGTAATAGCCTTCTAACTTACTTCAGTTGCCCTTTACCCCAAATGTTCTATTCTTCGCACGCTGTCAGAATGATCCTTATAAGGAAAATCAGAGCCTGGTCACAATGATCCAGGGGCTTCGTTGCACCCTGACAATGAAATACGAAGTCGTCAAAGGCCCTCCATTGCTCTTGTCTCCTCGCACTATGTCAGTACCTTCTTCATATCTCTTGTACAACTCCAGTTTGT